CCGAGGGCTTCCCCTCACGCTGGGGCTGGGCGTGGCTTTCACAACGCCAGTCTCAAAAAACCCGTCGACTGCAGCCCACGGCTCGGCCCCCCAAAGCCCCGGTCCCCTCCCCCTGCGCTGGGGCGGCGGGAACCCGAGCCCGCACAGACGCCCGCAACGCTTGGGCCTGAGGCAGTGCGCAGGCGCGGGGGGGCAGGGCAGGGGCGGGGCCAGGCGTGGCCGCCGCAGAGAAGCCTCGCGCTCTTCCCGCCACAGGTCGGTTTGGGATCGAGAGCCTCCCGCGCTAAGGGGGTCCGGGAGGCTGGGCTTCTGGTTTCCCGCCTTTGCCTCACCCTGCACCCACAGCTCGTCCCCGGGGACCCTCACGCCCCTGCCCTCAGCCGTTCTAGGGCGGCTCCGCACTGCATCCCTCCGGCAGCTGCTGGCGCCCGGCCGGCCTCCTTCCTCCCTGGGCCGGGGTCTGAGTGGGCTCCCTCCCGCGCCGCTTGTCACTGCGGTCTCGCGTCTGCAGACTTGACCCGGGTCCGGGTCGGGGGGAGGGAACGAAGCGACCAATGTGCAATGCAGAGTGGGATTCAGAAGCCCAACGCGACTTCACTTTGCAGATGCGTGACCTTGGGGGGACATTTACACTTTTTAAGCCACCTTTGAAATATGGACATTTAAAATGTTAACTTAGTAACCTGGGCAGTCCTGTTTCTTCCAAGGCCGTGAGTCAGAAAGGTCTTCCTCACACCTAACCACTTGAAATGGCCATTGGACTAGAGATTTTAGGTGGTTATTTCCCATAAAATTCATCGTATACTCTGCTGCCAGATTACATCTCTTGAATATGATTGTTACCCCACCTCCAATTAATACACATTAGATAATGACTCCAAACTGTCGTTCCAAACTTTGTCACCACCCCTCTCTACCATCAGCCCTTGCTGATGATACACATTTGGGCCTCATAACTTTAGGCCTCTTTTCTCCACTACAGTTTCCCTTTCTAAATTTCTGTTAAAATCCTACCGATCTTGCAGGGCCAGCTTGAATGCCATCTCCCTCAGAGAGCAGCTTAGATTTCCCCAAAGTCCTCGTTCTCTTTGACACAAGGCTTTTTAATTCTTAATGGGAGATGGTTAATGGTACCTGACACTCTCTTGTAATACAATTATGCATCTACATTATCCTCTCTACTTATCACCTAGTTTTAAATTCCTTGAGAGCAGGAAATTATGACTTTTTCATCTTTGTATCCCCAGAAGAGCTTTCCAAAATATAAATTAAAAATAAGGGGAGGGGGACGGCTGGGTGGCTCAGTGGATTAAGCCTTTGCCTTCAGCTCAGGTCATGATCTTATGGTCCTGGGATCAGACCCCAACACTGGGCTCTCTGCTCAGCAGGGATCCTGCTTCCCCCCGCCCCCCAACCTGCCTCTCTGCCTACTTGTGATCTCTGTCAAAAAAAAAAAAAAAAAAAAAATCTTTTAAAAAATAAAAAATAAAAATAAGGGGAGAAAGTGTTTAAAAGCCTGCCATTGTTTTCATTTTGATTGAAACATTTAAAAAAAGTTTCCTTGAGTGAAATTTTGAGATTCATAGCTACAAGTTAATTGTAAATAGAAGGATTAAGGAATTGATTTCTCAGCCCCCTACTCTGTCTCCAATGTGACAGGTGCTTTCATACATGTTCTTTCATTTCCTTTTTTTTTTTTTTTTAAGATTTTATTCATTTATTTGTCAGGGAGATAGCTAGCACAGCAGGGGAATGGCCAACAGTAGAAGCAGACTCCCCACTGAGCAGGGAGCAGGATGTGGGGCTGGATCCCAGGACACTGGGATCATAACCTGAGCCCAAGGCAGACACTTAACGACTGAGCCACCCAGGAGCCCCATGTTCTTTCATTTCTTCACAGCAATCCTGTCAGATTGCTGCTACCCCCACTAACCCATAAGGAAGCTATTTTCCCAGTGACACGGTAGAGCCTTGAGGGGCAAACCTCGCATTCTGAACTCCCTTCCATCGTATCAGCACTACTTATGGAAAAAGTCATTAGAACTACTACAAGATCCTTTTCCAGAACCAAAGGAGATCATGTTCACAAATGCCTTTTCCAAACTAGAACGTGTTACTACTCAAGGGTAAGGTATTAATTACAAGGAGGATGTCGTAAGTGGAACACATAGGTATCCAATCTCTATCATTTAGAGCGCAAAATGCCTTGAATAAACCCTCTGATGGAACGGAGGTCATCAAGAGACATTTTAATCTTAACTTCTCAGGTGCATGTACTTTTAAAAAAGTAACAGCAGCAGTGCCTGAGTGGTGCAGTCAGGTGACGGTCGGACTCTCGGTTTTGGCTCAGGTCATGATCTCAGGGGCTTAGGATCAAGCCCCAAGTCACGCTCCTGCTTGTCTTCCTTTCTGCCCCACCGTCCACTCTCACTTTCTCTCTAAAATAAATAAATAAATGAAACTTTAAAAAAGTAATGACAGGGCACCTCCATGGCTCAGTCAGTTGGGCGTCTGCCTTTAGCAGTATCCCGGGACTCTGGGTTCGAGCCCCACATCAGATCTCTGCTAGGCGGGGAGCCTGCTTCTCCCTCTCCCTCTGCCTACAGCCCCCCTTGCTTGTGTTTGTTCTCTCTCTGGCAAATAAATAAAAAAATCTTTTAAAAAAAGTAATGACATTTAGCTATTTGTACTGGCAGGTAATGAATCTGTTATATATCCTTTATGTAATTTAATATTCATATGGCACTAGCATGTGTTTTACAACAAAAGATAAAAATAAGACATGGCCCCTGCTCAGAAGGCTTACAATCTGAAAGGCATTAAGATACAGGGGATATAATTTCAGGGACAGGAAATTTTAAAAATGTTTTTGGTTTAAAAAATGAGTCTTCTGTGATAATGAAACAGGTTTTAGAATGCGATATTAAAGGGAAGGTACTCCTTTGTATATGTGAGAAACAAGAGATTTGGGTTCTGGGACATAATGAACAAGTGATTCTCAGCTGAAGGCAAGAAGATGCTTCCTTTTACAATATTTTGGGCTGGAACAAAGTAGCTATGAACTTTCAAAACAAGATGGCACCCTGAGCCCTTGATCTGACTGAGTCTCCTTTATTTGTAAAATTCAGTTAACACTGAAGGGAAGGTGGGTCTTTTTGGTTTCTAAAAAGAAGAATGCTTTAAAGAGAGATGAGAGGTACCAAGATGAAGACCAAGAAAAATAAACAGTGTGGTGTGGTGCTAAAAATAACAGAGAAAACAACAGAAAATAATGGGGAAGAGTCAAAGGCAAGAATTCACAGGATAAGAAGACTAAACAGAAAGGTCAGGTGAGGGAAGACTTAGTATGAAATTGACCCTAGGAGAAATTATTAAAAGGTTTATATATGTAACCCAAAGCTCCTACTGAAGCAATAAACAAATTTAAAATAATTGTGATTAAAAGCAAAAACGTAATGTAAAATATTTATTCAATAAAAATAATTTTATAATCTATACAGAATTGAATAAAAAGCATAACAAATTATTTTCACTTCTTTGCAAAACTGCATAAAGTACAACTTGCAAACTGGGCTCAGCGTTCTGTAAATATGGCCACATACCAGGATATGAACTTATTATCATCGTAAATAAGTAAAGGCTCCGGTTGGGTACCACAAACCTTGAATTAAAGTCCAGGGAAACATTGCTTTGGTAACATTAATAATTTGATTGTACCACAGTCGGTTTTATTAAAAAACATTAAATAAAATCCCTGGAACACCACTTTTCTACGAGTTTCTGAATAAACAATTCCCTCCATAGCAAAACAAAAGATACAATATAAAATGAGAGGCTGTCCTTTTAGGACATCACTTCCCCTTCCCTTATGTAGTGTTCGGCTCTTGCCCTTGATCAGAAAGGAAAGTGAATGGAAAATGGCCTATATTTATCTTCTTTCGTCTAATTCTAGAGTTCCCACTTATACTAAATGACTATATCAACTTTGGAATCTTGATACTATTATTCACACTGCTTACCTGTGTTATTCTAAATGAGTTAACCGAGGTTATTTTTCAAGATAAGGCAACAACGTCGGCTATAAAAAGGCTTTCATGTCTCACATACACTAGCAGCCCCTCGGTTTACTAGTTACAGAATTCAATGCGTACATAATAGCATTTTTCCGAGTACCTTGGAAATGAAATTACTAGCAACTTTTTATTTTCAAATATTCCAAGATGATCCACCCTTAGAAACAAAGGCAGATTTAATGTACAAAATGCAGGAATCAAGTCTATCCTAGTTCCTGTCCCATTGAAATAATTAAAAAGAAGCTCAGTGTGTGAAAAGGCCTTACAATAATCCAACATATCTAACTCCTGATGACATCTCTATCTTGGGTAAGAAGGACAAATAATATAAAAGCTATAAATAGGGATGAAGATATTTTTAAAAGGACTTTTCATTTTATTTTAAAAATAAAAGGGAATGTGAATACAAAATGGGCTACTTGTATCTTTAGCCCATACTAACTTTTCATCACTGAATTAAAAGTCCTTCATACCAAAGACCAAAATATAGGCAAACATACCATTAGTTTTCTGATTAGGTCTCTTCATTTCAATGATTAGCAGGCCTCAAAACTTGCCTTATTTTCTACCTAAATGAGCTTCTCCAGGAAGCATACGAGTAACGCAGAAGTGTATTTCTAAAGACAACCTACACAAACACAAAATTGTCAAGATGGAAACAGAACATTCATACAATGAATTTTTTAAAATAAAATTAGAAATGACACACATTCCTAATACGACAGAACACCAAACCAGAGCAAATATTGCCAGTGGTTAAGAACAACTTTCATCTGTAGAAACACAAATGCACACGAGTAACAGAAATAAGAATTAAGCTGAACAGAGGCAGGTGCTGTTGGAACCTATTTCTATTCTGACGTGTAATATCCCGTGGCCCCGGGGAAGCCCCGTCCCACCAGGCCACGCCTCTGGCCCATCAGAGAGAAATAACTTGACCTACCGAACACCAAACTCACTCGCTATCCCAAGTACAAATGCCATGTGGTTGCTCGAATGCTCTTATTACTTGGTTTTCAAAATCAAGTTCACTTCTGAATCAGAAGAAAGTAATCCTTATATTAGCTTTCATAAATAATCCATGAGATAAACTTCACCTCTGGCTCCTCTAAACAGTATCGTTACTCTAGGAACACAAGGTCTAGTCAGTTGGCTGCTTTGAAGCCTTAAAAAGCACATTCATAAATATACATCTACATATTAAAACACTAAATACATCCAGGCACAGTTGCTGTGCAGAATTTTTGCTATAAGAAGCAGCTTATCATCAGTGTATTATGATGTGGTTACTTGAGAACTCAATTCTGCATCTTCTTGCTTTCTGTATTTCTTCAGAATATTAACTGTACCATTAGCCAGGAAAACCACAGCGATGAGTGCAAAATACCCAGCGTAGATCAGGAACTAAAGGAGATGGGGAAAGAAGTCATGTAGAGAATTATCAATTAGAAGATAAGTTTTATTTTATATATGTGAACATAGCCTGTAATTGAAAGTATATTCAGTTTCTCCATAAGCCTTCACAAAACCCTGTGTGCTCACACAACCTGCCAGGCTCTGACAAAAAAAAAAACAACAAACGAGGCAGCAGAACATGGTGGGACGGAAGCTCTGTTGGCCTCCGTGCAGCCCCTGACTCCATGCCTTCCTAGCCGTGTGACCCTGACTGAAATACCTCATCTCTGAGCCCTGACTTCACTTACAACATGGAATTCACAATATTCCCTATTTTACAGCGTTGCTGGGAAGGGATGAGATCATGCGTGTGTTTATTAGCACACACGGCTAAGGCTGTTAACACAACTGTTTTCTATTTGTGTTGCTGTAGTTGTTACAAAGGCATCAGTCTCTACCCTCAAGCTGGTAGGTAGAGAGCGACTAGCAGGCCAAATTCTGAAGACGAAGAACTTCCGTTCTTCCCCAGAGGAGGGCAGCAGAAAGTCGGCCAGATTCCATTACGGGATCACTTTCCACTTTTCATACGGATCTTCTCCAGGCTAATATTTTAATGTGACTGTATAGTTTATCAACAGCTTCATCATCATCATCATCATCATCTTGAAAGAACTTATGAAACAACCATCTGCTGGCTCGTGAGCGCAATACGGGTGCCGCTCTAAGTCTTCGAGCCAGGTTCTTTAAAATTTGGATACATTTTCCTATAGGAAACCTATTGATTAATTATGGCAGTTAAGAGTTCAGCACAACCTACACAATTCGAGATTCCACCTACTATTTCTATCGCAGGATGACAAGCACTTAGTTTCTCTCCTACCCTCCATGCCAAATCTAAGCACCAAACCCTCGAGAGGTCTTCTCAAGGTTTTCACTGCCGGTGGTGACTGGGGAACACAGAGAAAGTGGCGAGCTCCCAGTCCTCTGCTCCCCACACCCACCTTTCTGAGGCAGCATGATCCAGGGAGGGATGATCAGGCTTTAGAGTTAGAAGCTGGTTTAAATCCCAGCTTTGCCACACTATTAGCGACCACGAGACCTTAGGCAACACTTTACGTTACATAACCTCTCACGGACTCGTTCTCTCGATGCCCAAGCCTAACAACAACCCTGCACAACTCTAAAGGACCACGTGCTCCACGAAACCCTCAGTGCACATCAGCTACTATGATGATCATTTCTTTCTGTTCGAGCTCTTGGGGAAAAACAGTTAATGACTGCTAACACCGTGGGCCTTTGTATAGTAAGAGCACTAGTACCTCAGTATGGAGGGAGTCATCCAGGCTGGGATGGCTGGGATAGGGGCGGGGGAGGCTTTTTGATTCAACTGCCCCTTTTGCCTGAGTACAGAGCAAGGCCCACCTACAACTCACACCACACGAAGGCATATGCGACAATGCGCTTCCTGAATGAATGCAAGGACCCGGTCTCTGGGCGTGTGCGCAGCTGTCTCCTTGATGAGTCACGTGTGAAGACTCTTCATGCTATTCATCAATGGCAAGTCATTACCTCGGTATTTGGGTGAGTGGTACTTCGGAAAAAGGAGGGAGACATAAAGAACTGTGAGATGAAGCGGGGCATCTCAAACACCAGAGGCGGTGTTCCATGCACAGAATTAAAAACGGAGGGACATACTGGATGAGGAAGCGGAAAAGCTTGGCCTGGAAGGAACCAGCATTACTTCTTGGCTCTACCAGGCTGTTAAGTTACACTCAGAAATGTTCTAGGTCCTCATCAAAAATATGATGGTCCCAACATCCTCGAGGGAGAAAAGAACTAAGGATGGAGTTGACTGAAGGCAGGAGAGAATACTTCCACTTCTATCTGTCTCTACCGTTTGAATTTGCTTTCATCCAGCTCCACGTTGTCACCCTGATCCAGTGACAACACCTTGAGTGTCGAAACAGAAATCTTACCTGAGTGGTAATGTCTAAGCCAAGGCCGCTGGAATCCACCACGATGAGAGTGAGCAGTGTCTGTAGGGCCAGAGCAATGAAGGTGTTCACACCAAACACAAGGGCATAGCGCTCCATGCTGAGGTTAGCAGCAATCTGAAAACTTAAAAAAAAACAACAACCCACAAAAGAATGAATAGGTAAGAATCACTTCCTAGGTAGTTAGAATGTTTACTTCAATTATAAAGAGGAGCCCCTTCTCTCTACTGTCCTTTCCTTTCCCAACCAGGTGAAAAGCCCATTGTTGCTAAGTGGTGTAAACCTCATGCAAACATCAGAACAGAGAAGGAATATATGAACAAGGAAATCAACGAGCCTCACCTAAGTGCTTCCTCAGAAGAAAAACATGCAATACAATAATACTTCTTCCTGTTTGCTTTTTTTTTTTTAAAGATTTTTTATTTATTTATTTGACAGAGAGAGATCACAAGTAGGCAGAGAGGCAGGCAGAGAGAGAGAGGAGGAAGCAGGCTCCCCGCTGAGCAGAGAGCCCGATGCGGGGCTCGATCCCAGGACCCTGAGATCATGACCTGAGCCGAAGGCAGAGGCTTAACCCACTGAGCCACCCAGGCGCCCCCTGTTTGCTGCTTTTAACTAGAAATTTTCATTTGTTTGTAAAGAAACCAAAAGAGTTTATACTGTCACAAGTTTTCCAAATGCTTCTTTGACTCCAAATACATACGTTGCTATGGTGATGAGTAACATGTAGATGATTCTGAAGATGACATAGGACGTGTAGCAAACCCAGATGTTGTGCACCGTATCCATGACATACACGGAGGCAGCAATCAGCAGGGAAAACAGAGACAGCATCATCTCCCCCCACGTTGACCAGGATATTTGGATGTAACCCACTGCAAACACGGCAACGGCACCTACAAAACCAAACAGAAAACCCACCTATTTATTTTGTAAACAAATGCTCTTTTAATGAATTAAAAATTCAGCTTAGATTATTAAATTTTAAAACCTTGCAACTTATAGGGGAGCTCAAGGGGCACCTGGGTGGCTCCATGGGTTAAAGCCTCTGACTTTGGCTCAGGTCATGATCCCAGGGTCCTAGGATGGAGCCCCGCATCGGGCTCTCTACTCAGCAAGGAGCCTGCTTCCCCCTCTCTCTGCCTGCCTCTCTGCCTACTTTGATCTCTGTCAAATAAATAACTAAATAAATCTTATAAATAAATAAATAAATAAATAAATAAATAGGGGAGCTCAAGGTTAGGGAGGGCCTTGAAAGTGAGGCAGAGAATTTTGGACTCGATGGAATAAACACCATGGAACCACTGAGAGACAAGGAGAGACTGAATGAGAATATGTACAGAAATAGAAATATTTTTGTACAGAAATATGGAAATCATGGGATGTCTTCTAAACACCTTAAGAAGTCAGTCAACATGGGTGCCTGGGTGGCTCAGTTGGCTAAGCATCTGCCTCTGGCTCAGGTCATGATCCCAGGGTCCTGGGATCAAGTCCCACATTGGGCTCCCTGCTCAGCGGGGAGCCTGCTTCTCCCTCTGCCTCTCTCTCTCTGTCTCTCATGAATAAATAAATTAAATATTTTAAAAAATATAATAAAATGGGAATGTAATAACCATTTATTAAGAAAAAAAAAACACCAAAAACAAAAAAACAAAAAACGACTGCCTTCAGCTCAGGTCATGATCCTGGGGTCCCGGGTTGGAGCCCCACATCAGGCTTCCTGCTCAGCAGGGAGCCTGCTTCTCCCTCTGACCTTTCCCCTCTCATTCTCTCTCAAATTAATTAATTAATTAATTAATTTTAAAAAGGAAGTTAAGTAAAAAAATTAGAAAGGGGCGATAGAATATAATGGTCAAGGACACAGCCTCTGAGTTCAAATTCTAACTTTACTACTTACCACCTATCTGATCTTGGGCAACCTGTTTCCCTAACTATAAAATAAGGATAATAACCGCACCTATCTCAGGCACTTTGTGAGGACTGAGTGAATATACTTAAGTCCTAAGAATAGCATTTATTGCATGTTAACACTTAACATTAGTTATTGTCATAAACTTCTATATATTGTTTCAAAGTTCCACATCAAGTAGTAAAAGCATCTAATAAATACAGAGATAATGGAAACCTGAAGAAGAAAATTTTGAAAATCATTCCACAGGGCTTCCCTAAAGGATATAAAGAATTGAAGTGTGTTAATCATGCTGACCCATGACTTGAACACTGCTAAATTTCTTCGTAAATTACAAAATCAAAACTCAAAATAAAGAAATCATTCCTTGGGGATGCCTGAGTGGCTCAGTCGGTTAAGCATCTGCCTTCAGCTCCGGTCATGATCCCAGGGTTCTGGGATCGAGTACCACATCGGGCTTCTTGCTCAGAGGGGAGACTGCTTCTCCCTATCCCTCCTGCTCCTGCTGCTCGTGTACTCTCTGTGTCAAATAAATAATTTATTTTTTTAAAAGAAAGAAAAAAGAAAAGAGATCATTCCTTGGGGTCACTTTGAATTTAGGAGGGGAGAGGAAATCTGATTACGGTTGACCTCATCACCTGAGGGGGAACTACCCACCCGCCCTCCTTACCCAGGAGGGTGGACGCGGCCTCCACGCCCCCGTTGTAGATAGCAGCACTGTGAGAGGGCATCACTTGCTCCCACAGGCCCTGTGTGTAGTTCACCACTTGGAAATAGCCGCAGGTGGAGAGGGCCCACCACAAAGACCAGCAGAGCAGCGGCCGAGAGGAGTAACACATCAGGAAGTCATTCCACAGGACCTTCAGCACGAGGAGACGGTCTGGCTGGGGCTCCTACACAGGAAAAGGGGAAGAAAGCTCAATCACTAGGAAGGCAACCACAGGAAACAACTGTTATGGACTTCCTTTTCTATTTGACAGACATTTTTCTTTTTCCTGGTGAAAACCAACTGGTTGGTTATTTTTGTGCATACACACAGTATAGAGGTGAACCTCATTTTATTGTGCTTCCCTTTTCCGCACTTTGCAAATATGTTTTTAACTTCTGGAAGGTTTATGGCAACCCTGTCTCGAGCAAGTCTATCAGAGCCAGGTTTCCCACGGTATTTGTCACTTTGTGTCTTTGTGTCACATTTTGGTAATTCTCACAGTATTTCTAACTTTTTCATTATTTTTTTTATGGTGGTCTGTATCAGTGACCTTTGATGTTACTACTGTCCTTGTTTTGGGCTGCCATGAATTGTACCCATTGAAGAGAGCCAACTTCATCAGTAAATGTTGTATGTGTTCTGACTGCCCCACTGACCTGCCATTTTCCCTCCATTTCCCTCTCCTCCGGTGTCCCATTCCCTGAGGCACAGGAACATGGAGATTAGGTCAATTAATAACCCTACAACCACCTCTAACAGCAACTTCTGTAGTTTTTTTTAATTTCCTTTGTCTAGAATGTTCTTCATTATTTTTCTATTCAAATCTTATCTGTCTCCCAAAGTCTACCTCAAATACCAGGTCTTTTGGCAAAGGAGAACCTCTAGATGTAAACAGAACCTCTGAGTAGGTATAGCTGGGTGTTTGCAAGACCAAGTTACAATACCACTCATTTCTCAGCCCTGTTGTGCACAGAGGGAGACCAGTCTGTAGCCAAAACAACAGCTAGGATGGAAATTTCCAAGCCTAAGTTTGCTTCTTTTATTAAATGTTTTTGAAGGACACAATCCCAATACTAACTCTTGCTATGAACAACAAACACTTTCATGATGAAAAGGAGCCTATCATTATCTCCTTAGCTGCTGATATTCCATTATCCAAAACACAGTAAAAACATACAGAGTGAGCCTTAACTGATGGGAACAAATAATGTACATTTGTTTTTAGGAAAACAAAACAAAACAAAATATGGATCAAGGAAGCATAGGTGCTGTTGAGGCAGGTTTACAACTGGGCAACAGTGAAGTTCCAGCCAAACATAAAAAGCTTCGAGGACTCTCTCTCCTGCTCTGGCCTGTTGTGCACTTATTCTGCTCCAAGAGTCATTCTTGCCTTAGCCTGGTAGCTTACTGAGCTCTCATTCCTAAAACCAGAAGGGTGCACCCTTCCCTGTTAAGGCTTAGTGCCCTTGAACTTGAGAGAAGTGTCATCTTCCCTGAAACAGTAGCCAAAGACAGGTCAACTCTTAACAGGTTGTTAATGCCCTACTTTCTGGTTTAGCCCTAGATTCTGGGAATACAGCAGAGAAGTCCCTGCCCTCGTTGAGCTGACATTTTGGTTAAGGGAGACAGGCGATAAACACACACGAGAGAGCTTACAGTAGGAATGATACTACGAAGAAAGGGTGGCAAGGGACTGTGGTAGAGAAAAGGAAGGCTGGTGAGAGTGTTGAAAGGCTTTCTGAAAAGCTCATGCCTGAGCGGATACCTGAGTGACACAAAGAAACCAGCTATGAAAATCAGAATGAAGGGCAGTCCTGACTGAAACCTTCTGGACTGAAGTTCTAAAGTGGGAATAAGCTTGATGTGTTTCAGCCAGTTTCACGTGAGATAAGGCCAGATTACAGGGGGATTCCCAGGCCACAATATGAGTTTTGGATTTTCTTCTACACACAACAGGAAAATAGATGGGGGCGGGGGTAGTTACCTACTACGAATACTCATTTGAGAGCCTTACTTTGCCTCTGAATTTAATACACGAAATAACTCTGTGAGGCAGAAAGAAGAAGGAGTAAAAAAACAAAGTCTCAAAGAGTTAAGTAACTTGCCCAAGATCACCCTGCTGGTTAAGTAATAGAACCTTGTTTGACCATCTTCAAAATCCACTTTGGTGTGCTGCTAGAAATTATATAAAGTACAAAGTGGAAACATTAATGTTTCATAGAGCTCAACACACACATACACAAAAGAATGCTTACTCATCAGTCTACAAATAAAAGTATGGGTGTGTTAACAGGTATCCTCCCAGTAATCATGTGTCAGGCCCTGTGCTAAAGAAGGGGCTTAATTTACATCATTTCTAACGGATGAGCAATTTAAAGTAAATCAGGTCTGACGCTAGGCCGAGCACAGAAGGAATCCCGTTTCCTATTTAAGAAAGAGAATCCCTGGCTGTGCTGGAGTGTCCACAGCAAGAGGCTCGTTCTGAAAAGAACTCACAGACACTGGAGGGTAACTGGTGGACGGGGCTGTCACTTTGACTTCCACTTCATTTTCCCTTTCCATCAAGTCAAGATCAACCACCCACCCACCTACCTACTCTTCTTTACCCTATTTACCACAATTATGATTTACACAGTTCAGTTGTGGGCTCTATCAACTTAAAATGGCACTGCAGTCCCCAGCATCCATATTCTGACTTCTTCAAGCCTGTCAAGAGAAACAGCACTATTTTCGCCCTGTACAACTGCCAAGCAGCCCCAACAGCCTGTTCCATGCCAACAGCACAGCCGAGGATACGAAGCAACTGACTTGCATCTAACTTTTACCACACTGTACCCGACAGGACAGTTCTGACCCCATCGTGAAAGACCTTACAGCATAACGTACAGATCAAAGTGGATCTCATACATTCTCTTTAATGATGTTATAGGGTCTATCAGTGCGATTCTGCACACATCACTCATCTCTGTTCCCAATCCCTATCTCTAAAATGAGAGGGTTGATGACATGTAAAGTCCCTTGTAACTTTCAAATACTCTGACCGTGCAATGGCCTGTGGTCAGAATCACTTTCAACTCTAAGTTTCACAATTCTTCAGCATATCAAGTACTGACATTTTCCATGTGTATAAACAACAAATGTCAAGTTGTTCTAGGACAGAGTTCTTTAAATGTGGGTTATGCTCATTAAAATGCAATAAAATCAATGTAGTGGGCAGTGATCTGCATTGTTAAAAAAATGAAATGAATGAAACAAATAAGACACTATATATTCATTACATTTAAATTAAAAAACTAAAAATAAAACTGAAGTTATTATCAAATAAATGAATTGAATGGAATGTATCAATAAAGTATTGCGCAATAAAACCTTTGCTTCAGTTATATAGAAAAAACATACACACCTATGGACAGAACTTGTTTCTATGTAAGATGTGTCTCTTACTTATGCTCAAAATGGTTTAAAACTTCCTGGTCTATACAAATCTTCAGAAGTACGACCAATGTTAATATTGAAGATATAGAAGTATTATGCAAATGTATATACATATTAATTTTAGCTACAGCCATTTTAACAGATTTGAAACAGAATTTAAAAGGGGTCCTTATTCTTTTTTTCTACTCCGTTAAGATCAGGTGATTTTAACTTTTTCCCCCTCCATCAACTCTTTGTTGGCTTGCTAACACCACTTAACAAACTATGAAGGAATCAGCACTGCATTCTTACTTTATCCAGGTATGACTGATGCTACCCGCAGGGGCCCGAGGAGTAAAAGTGAGTTTCATGACCAGAGTCACCTAGGCTCAAGCTCTTTGGGAGGATAACCTAAGTTTCAACTAGTAACGATAAGGGAAGAACAGGGGTAGGCATCAGAGAGTAATAAGATGCCACATGGAAACAATTTGAGTTAACTCCGGGTGGGGAGCCGAAAAACCACCCATGTGGGTACTCTACTCTCATTCAGACTACAAGGCTTATGGACCCACACAGTAAGAAGGTTAACAGGTTATTTCCAAACACGTCCCGTGAAAGCTAAGACTAATTCAGTATCACTGGAATGAACCTCGCCCCTCACAGAGTATAACCTGTTGGAAAGATAAGAAGCTTTTATAAAAAAGGGTGAATGAATGGAGAAAGCAATTAGTATTCCTGGCTAGCCAGAACGTATGGATGGATTATTCTGATGCCATACCTCCTAAGAGACAATTTCACAGTCATGCTTTTAAATGTATTCCATCATCACCTTAAATTTTCCTCTTGTGATTGTCTTCCTCTGCGCCGTTCATTACTACCCCCCTCTGGGAAAGTGTCACTTGAAAATACAGATATCACTTCCGGCACTGAAGAGAAAGTTAAGCTCCCAAACTTAAATACTTTGGGTTTTAATTCAGAACTGGAAGTAGATATTCATCATTTATTGGAATCATTTCATCTAATCATTTAGCAAAATTTTCTGAGTGCTCTCTTTATAGACAAAGTACTGGGGATAGAGGTAAAGAAGACACAGCTCCTGCTGTGGCCTCTTAAGACACCTCTGACACAAGCAATGTCACGCTGTGCAGTCTGACTTTGGAGGTCACTCACTCCAGGATAAAACCCATTCATCATCCCTAATATAAATCAACCTTATCTTTAATCAGTGGATGAACGAACCAATGGACCAATTCAGGGTAAAAACCTGAATCCAGATGAAGTCTAGCAAGAGGAGGTTTCCTGTCTGTTCTGTCACCACTGCTCCACCAACCACAAGACTTTTAAGGTTAAACTTACCGTCTCCTCCATATTTAGGGGGATTTTTGACTCAATGTCCTCCCACCCAGGAAGGTGGTTAGAAGCTGAGGTGTTGGTTACAATGCCGCCATTTTGTGCCTTGATGCCATTCATCCTCTGGCAAGTGGAAGGAACATGGTGAAAGAAAAGGCTCTTCTGTGGCATAGGCAGAAACCAGGCCACAGCAAAAGCCACAGAAACACAGGTAAGAGAGATGACATTCAGACTGAACAGGGACCAGCCTGCCATGGAGACGAGGATTTGCCCCAGGACAGAGCCCACAGTAAAGCCCACCAAGGTGGCACTCCGACAGTAACTTGTGACTTTCTGGTACATGTTCAGGTCTACCACACTGTAGATATAAGAGTAATAGGCAATTTCAGTGGCTGTGGCGATGCCATAGAAGAATTCCAAGAACTGAATGGCCAGCAGTCCCTGGGCGTAGAGCAGCATGAACCATGTAACAATAAGGCTGAGTCCCTGCAGCAAAACAACAGGCTTGTAACGGAGGTAGTCTGTGGCAAGGAACACTGGAAACAGTAGCACCAGGTAAGAGTAAGTCCATACTGGATAAATTTTATTGAAGACCTGAGAGAAAAAGGAAATTTAAAAACCCATTAGTGGTATCAATGGACCTGGAATATTTGTCACAATGTATTGTTACAAAACAACCTACCCATACCTCTAATCAATCATCTTTATCAACCAAAGAAACCTCAACAACAATTCTGATAACTGTTTGGCATATAATTCCTCGTTTTCACCCCATCATCTTTCTCTTAAAGTCTTCCCCCTTCATCAAGGCCTGGTTTGAAGCCATCCTGGTCTGAACAACTTTGCTGGAGCGGAGAGTGTTCACGGCGCAGTCCTTGGAGCTCCCCTGATACCGCTTTGTGTGCTCATCCCCCCAGTTCCCACCCAGCACTGCTTCCTACCCACGGTTGCACATCTCCCATGGAGCTTTAAAAAATGTGCATGCCTCGCCAACAATGTCCCAGGAGATTTCTGTCTGAGCCAGAGCTGAGGACCACGGCCTTAGAGGGCAGACTCCTGAGGGCTGACTTGCTGGCCACTGCTGACCTGCACCCCCTAGCAACCAGCGTGCTGCGTGGACCGTACTTGGCTCAGTAACTGTTTTGGAAACAGGTAAGTGTTTGGGAATGGTCATCGATTCTTCCTTCTAGCCCCAGAATAGGGAGCCTTGATGCTACTGTTTGATTAGGTTTCTCGGATTTTAAGTTTCCTTGCTTTGAGGGAACAGGTAAAGAGGATAGTTCTGTCCTAGTCTTGACCAAACAATTATCTGTGGATGATAGGATTATAGGCAACTTGGATGGCCTTCTTTCTAGCTTGTCTATAATATGAAAAGGACAGAAGTTTTGTTTTCTCTTTAATGGATTTTTAAAATTGGAATAAAGTAGAAATAATCTCTAAAATCTCTGAAAATCTCTAATTTTTTCTAAAATAAAAAATCTCTAAAATAATCTCTAAAATCTTCCACCAGACAGACTCCCCTGGGATTTCACCCCCATCATTCGCTGTGTGATTATCCACAAGTTTTTTGTTTAGTTCCCTTTAGCCTTCCTCTCCACTACCAGTTTAAGAGGCATAAACCCTACATCACAATGCTGCTTGTTGCAAGGATTAAAGGACAGGATAGATACATGCAAATCACTCACTTCCTCTACTTAGAGGTCAAGATTGAGAACTGAAGCTGAAACAGACCCTCTGGGACAGTATGAATGAAATAAACTTCAGCTGACCTGCCATCCCCATTCTTCTAGGATCCACCACTGTAGGAGACCCCCCTCTTCTTTTACTCCTACCCGTGTCTAGCAAGGTCCTGCGGATGTATGTAAGTTGGTTTTTTAAGTGTCTAAATCACTGGCCCAGATCTTCAAGTGCTTGCTGAAAGGCAGCCTGGCTAACAGGCTAACTACTTTTTGCCAAGGAGCAATCTAACTCTAGACTCTGACAATCTAAGGCCAAGGGCAACTTTCTTTTTAACTACCATGTAGGCTTCAGTTCACCCAAATGTAAAACGGGCTAGTCAGGGTCAGGGTTTAGAGGAATAATCCGGTAAACTGTTATTGTAAAATCTTTTGCCAGTGCAGAGCATAACTACAAAAGTAGAACATAATCTGAAATATAGTCCAGACTTGGTTTCTGGTTTTGACTGGCTAGATATCAAAAATAATTTGTCTAACAGTCTCACCTTCATGAATTTTAGCCCAATTTGTATTTGTATAAATTATTTAGCAATCTCCACTGGATCAGGAAATTTCTTGCTCCTGAATATGGGTATGAAAAGAATAATCAAGAACCGTAGAAATGATTGTTATTTAAAAGTGTGTAAATTTTAGCAACTGAGGTCAGGCACCACCACGACCTAGGACCCCTCAACAGAAAACCAAGGGGGACAGGGTACCTTTGAGATAGAAGCAGTGACTTCACAGCGGTGTTCATTAACAACTCCCCACTTTTTCTTTTTGCCTCTGGTTTTACAGACAGTCTCCTCTAGTTTTCTTAAGTGTGAAACTGCCTCCTCCGACTCCACTCATTTCTTCACCTTCGCATTTTCCCCAACCTGTTTTTCCCAACACCACACTCCAAACCATTAGCCACCAAGCCTTTGCTTTAGAAAGAATCTCCGTCACTTCCTTCAGTACCTGACGTTCTCTTGTTCCCAACGCTCCCTTCAGGACTTTGACTTCTTCACTCCCGCAATATTGTCTGTACGTACGCATGTTCTATACCTTTCGATAACGGCTGTCCCCAAATGATTAACAGCTAGGTTTTCATTATAAAAAACTCATCCTTTAATTATCAACTTCATGTGCTTATATTTATGAGATTCATTCTACTCCTAACAGAAAACCACAATTAAGGTAACAAAGATGAGGAACAGGAACCTGGCCAGACCTGCAATGCCTGGAATAAAATTAAAGGAATAAAATTAAAGGTGGGTGGGGGTGATGGGGAAGAGATGAGTTCTCTTTGACTCATTCGAAATAAAAAAACCTGACTTCTCTTTTATGAGAGAGAGGTCACCCCAAGATGAATGTCCCTCTCACGATGTTATCATTGTAATAGCAAAGGTCTACTGACTTACCACCCACTATGCGAATCGCCTTACCTACCTCACTGCATTTAATCCAAACAACAAGCCTAAGAGGTAAACGCTTTCATCAGGTAAAATCTGCCATGTGAGCAAAGGGAACTGATTTTATCGAAAAGGTGCCTTTTACCATTCTTTGGATCAGACCTTGTTTGTGCTTTCTTCTGACAAAAGTCAAGAGAAAAGAGATGTTCATTTCAAGCTCTAATTAGGATTTAGACTTTATTTTAGAATCCAGTTTCAATTAAACAACTAGTTAACAAGCTCTTATTTGCACAACACTTTAAGCTGTGTGGATTACAAAAAATAAAATAAAGTCTTAGTTCTTCAGGAGTTCTGAACCTAATGAGCAATATATATTCATACGTTATTGATAAGGAAGATAGGAAATACAGGGTTACTTCTTTGAGGTGGCCCCTGAAGGAGGACAAAGTTAGGGGTTAACAGAAAGATATCAACAGGTATGAGAAGCTTATTCCAAGCAAGAGATCACAACTTTGAGTACAGACTGGTAGGTGAGAGACTGTGGATATGCTGGGTTTATGACAAGAAGATTGATGTGGGGACGCCTGGGTGGCTCAGTGGGTTAAAGCCTCTGCCTTCGGCTCAGGTCGTGATCCCTGGGTCCTGGGATGGAGCCCCGCATCGGGCTGTCTGCTCCGTGGGAAGCCTGCTTCCTCCTCTCTCTCTGCCTGCTTGTGATCTCTGTCAAATAAATAAATAAAGTCTTTAAAAAAAAAAAGAAGAAGATTGATGTAAATGGCAGGTGGGCATGTAGAGGAAGAAGGCAAAGAGAAGAAAGATAGCAGGATATAAGGCTGTTAAGGAGGTTAAGAGCCAAATTCTGTAGGACTCTGAATATCGGACAGAATAGGTAGAAAGTTCTTTGTTGTTGTTGTTGTTGTTTTTTATCAAAGAAAGGTAGTGAATGTCTGTCAAATCACATGCTAAAAAAGAAGAAAGAATAAAAAAGTGTTGGAGATATAAAGCTCTATTTTATTAATTGTTTGGCTTCATCTGTCAGAACACATTCCATTTTTAATGTGTTTAAATCTTAGAAAGTATGTTTGTGGGGGCAGTGCTGGGTGGCTCAGTCTGCTAAGCGTCTGCCTCTGCTCAGGTCATAATCCCAGGGGCCCTGGGATCCAGCCCCACGCTGGGCTCCCTGCTCAGTGGGGAGCCTGCTTCTCCCTCTGCCCACTAACCCCCACTTACGCCCTCCCTCTTTCAAACAAGTAAATAAAATCTAAAAAAAAAAAACCTTAAAAATGGTACCTGGAACAGGTAATCATTTTTTCCTGAAATCTAAGAAAAAAATCCTTTGAGAGTGCAAAGATAGAGGAAATTCCGTCCTCCTTTTCCTTCTTCTGCCTTTAGACTCGGTTAACAATAGCTCCATTTAAGATGATCTACGTAGGCCCTTCTAAAGTCTTACAAGTAAATACACACTTAACACAAACAGCACTGACCATGACCTGACATTCACTTTGCCTGAAAATCATTTTATTAACTGTCCACTGGTGAAAGCAAGCATTAGGCCAGGAAGGAGAACAAGCTGTTCTATTTATCTCTGTTTTTAGACATTTTAGAAACCCAGAGTTCCCAAGAAGGTGGACAGAGCCGGAAACCCAGGATCAGCCAAGGTCCAAGGTCCTCCTAGACAAACGACCTCCTCTCTAGACCACTCGATTTCTTTTCAAACTCGGCCCTCCTCCTCCTCCTCTTGCAGTAACAGAAATCGTGCTATGTGTTTGTTACACAATCAGCCAGTATTTACCGGGTCTAGCACCCCTGTTCTACTCCAGTGCCACTGAAGGTGAACGAAGCTAGAAAGTTCTCTGATTGAACAGGGCACACGATGACACAGGACAACTCCCCGGCCCTGGGCAGGTGACAAAACAGATCGGCGCAGCAACAGCGGGAGCACGTTTCCCCCCAGGGCCCTCTCTCCGGCCAGGTGCCCGCCCCGTGCCGGTCACATGGCCGTTCCCATCAGCAGCTCAAGGATCACTGCGGCTTCGGTGACTGCACCGCAGGAGCAAGCGCTTGTCTCGGAGTCACTCTCGTATTCTCTGCGGTAACTTTCCTGTAAAATCGCTCGTTCCCGGGGGTAAAATGCAACCCGTGTTAAAACTCGGACAGGAATGAGGGCCTGCGGCGGTCTCCGTCGGGGGTCCTTCGGACTGAGAAATGGAAGACCTTGAACTGGGTGAAAAGCAATACCACCTGCTGGAGTCGGACAACGCAAGAAGACCAAGCGGAGTGGCCAGTCTAGGGGCGCACGGTGACCTTCCACTCCCTGAGTGCCCTTGAAAGCGGACGTGGGCAAAGCGACAACAAGCGGGACTGGGAGTCACTGCATCGTGCTCCGACCGGCTTGCAGGGACAGTGCGCGGCTGTCCCGCGGGGCGATGACTAAGACAGGAAGGAAACGGAGTTTATTTGGGGGGGAGGGTGCGCTCACGCGGTAGGTAGGCACGGGGGTCAGAGGGTCCGTGAACCAGGCCGCACCCCCTCAGTAACCCAAGCAAGTTAAGGGGTGAAGCACGGTATGGGGAGAAGACGCAGCCGCGCGGGGACACGATTCTTGCAAAAACCACGCGTTCGGGGGCTCCTGGGGGGCTCAGGTGCGGGGCGTCTGCCCTCGGCTCCGCTCATGGTCCCAGGGTCCCGGGATCGAGCCCCGCATCGGGCTCCCTGCTCGACGGGAAGCCTGCTTCTCCCTGTGCCTCTGCCCTGCTTGTGCTCCCTCTCTCGCTGTCTCTCCCCGTCAAATAAAATAAGTAAAATCTTAAAGTGTTTTTAAGCAAGGGTTCCGCAGCCCCTGGCTGCCTACTCTCAGGCAAGAACCAGATACAAACTCGCCCGAGCCCCAAGGACAACGCGCGACGCCCCCTCCCGCCGCCCGCGGGAACTGCAGGCCCGCCCGAGCGCCCGAGCGCCGGCGCCGCGGCCTCTACACGCCGCCTCAAGCCCACGCGCCGGGCCCCGCCGCGCCCCAGCCCCGCGCGCCGCACACGCCGCCAGGCCCGGCCGCCGGCGGGAAAGCGCACCGAGCCGCCGCGGCTGCGGGAAGGCAGCGCCGCTCTGCAGAAAGCGCCCGGCGCTCCTCCTCCCGCGGGCCGCGTCCCCGCCGCCCGCCCGCGCCTACCTCCCGCTCCGTCAGGTTCTTGTCGGGCCCCAGCAGGTAGGGCGTCAGGAAGGGCTCGGACGGCCGGAGGCTGGCGAAGAAGCCGTAGGCGCACAGCAGCGCGGTGGGCAGGAACCAGCCCCCGCGGGGCACGCGGGCCGAGCGCAGGAGCGCGGTGGCCGCCGCCGCCCTCCGGGACCCCGGGCCGGGCACATCCATTCGCCGTGCGGAGGCCGCGGACCCAGCCCGGCGCCCGCGCGCGCCCGCTCGTCCTCCGCCCGCCGCAGGGAGGCTCTGGCTCCGGCGCTGCCGCGGCGCGGAACGCTGCAGTCGCGAGCGGCGCCCTTCGCGGCGGAGCCAGGTTACACCCCGCCAGACGCCGCCTCCCCGGGCAGCCCTCCAGTGCCCCCGCTGCCGCCGCCTCACACGCTACCGCCCGAGCACGAACGCGAGGCCCGCCCCCCGCCGCCACCGCCCCCGGGCGCGCAGCCAATAGCAGCGGACGCCTGGAATCTGGCTTCTCTCCCATTGGTCGCGGACTCCGAAATGCGAGGCGCGGGCCGAGCGCGAGTCGGCTGACATGCGCCGACCTGCGGGGCTCGGCGTGAAGCTGTGGAGGACGCTGGCTGGGCTGCTGCGCTGGTCGGGGCCGTGCGCATCGGTCAGGTGGAGGCCGGGGCCGTGCGCATCGGTCAGGCGGAGGACCCGGGCGCACGCTGGCGGGAGACTCGCCGTTCCTCCCTGAGGACCTGCCGCTGCCCACCCTCCACACGCGCGCTCTCCCCCTCTCAGTCAGCGTCCCTCCGGGGACTGTCCGCAGCCCGCACGCGAGGCCGGGCGGCCGGGCCCCGCCGAGCTGGAGCCGGGGGCGCGGCAACGCCGGAGCCTTCGGCCGGCAGCCGTCGCGTTTTCGGTCCCGTTCATCCGCGGGGCCGGGCGTGAGCCCCGGGGGCTTCCCCGAGCCCGCGGCGGGAGGGGCGCGCGCAGCCGGGCCTGGGGCTTGAGCTCGCGGTGAGCCTCCCGCGGCCGGTTACAGGGGAGCGGCGGGAGCCGGAGCCTGTGGTGGGCGGCGAGGTGGAAGCGCCGAGTCACCGCGGCCATCGGGACGCAGCGGCGTCTTTCCAGAGAGCAGGGTGGCAGGGGCACCGCGTGGCCAGCGCCGACTCCCGGCTCCCAGAGCCTCCCGTGCCCGACGAGCGCCGCTCCGGCCGGTCACCGACTCCGGCGGCCACTGCGCTGCAGGCCGGGCTGCGCCGCGGAAGGCGGGTTTCCCCTGTGGTGTTGGCAAAGTCGCCGGCTCGCTCTTTCTTTTTTAAAAAGATTTTATTTATTTATTTATTTATTTGACAGAGCGATCACAAGTGGGCGGGGGTAGGGGGAAGCAGGCTCCCCGCTGAGCAGAGAGCCCGAAGCGGGGCTCGATCCCCGGCCCCCGGGATCACGACCTGAGCCGAAGGTGGAGGCTCAACCCGCGGAGCCCCCCGGGCGCCCCGAAGTCGCAGGTTCTGTCGAAGCTCCCAGAGCCCGTGTTTGAACTCTGCTTTGCTTTGTGACCACACGTCTGGCTCAGTTTTCCTCCTGGGGTGGCAAGTGACATTTCTGGCGGGCGCAGCCCCCGCCGCAGGAATGACTCCGGGGTGCGTCCACCTGCTAGTGAGGGAGAGGTTTGTTTCCGAGGCTGCTCAAGTGAGGGCACCAGCATGTGAGCTGATGGATCGGAAGAGATGCAGTCGTTGGCGCTTACACCTGCCCGTGGGCCTCAGCGTGTGATCCAGAAACCCGAGGGCTCCTTGGGACCTTTTTGGGTTCCAGGAGGTCAAACTACTTTCGGAACAGTATAAGACTTTATTTCCTTTACTGAGTAATAGGCCTGCCTTCCTTTTCCTCTCTAGAGGCTACATGAAGCGATGACGTCATCACTCTAAAGGCTAAGAAACGGGGCTTGTATGTTTTCCTGTTTAATAACATTTCCAGATTTAATTTCTGATATGGTAACGATCAATAGGAATAAGCCACAAAAACAAAAACTTTTTAGGATCCTAAGGAACAGGAATCTTGAGACCAAAAAGTGAGAACGTCTCATCTACATAATATAATTATCTAGTTCCTAAACTGTAGCCACAGTGTGTACCCGTCATCATGAATTCGGAGAGAAGACTCGATGTCCTCTGGGCAACCGCTTTGCACGTTCAGTGCTTTAGCAGAAGGGAAGAAGGAAAGAGAAAGAAACAGGAGAGGCCTAAGGAGGAGAAGTCTGCCTGTTCGGAACAGCTCCCTGGTCCTTTCCTGAGGCTTAAAGACCTGGACTGTGTTAATCTGTAAATCACTGGGTCTGAAAAATTTCCCTGGTATTAATCACTCACACTTCAAATCCTCTTTGCAATGTTGGACATTAACGAATAATAATTCTTCCCGAATTGGGCAGAAAATGTTTTTATTATTTTTCTGTAAGAGGTTATGCTAGGCAGAATTCTAAGAATGACCTCCAGTGACCCCTACCCTTCTGTAATCCTCCCCCCCCCCCTTTGAGTGTGGGGTGGAACTTGTGAATCGGATGACATTATAAGGCCACATGAGATTATCCAGGTGGACCCAATCTAATCACAAGAGCCCTTTAAAAGCAGAGAATTTTCTCCAGATGGTAGCAGAAGAGAAAGAGATATTTGAAGACTGAGGAAGATTTGCTGTGCTGCTGCTGGAGGGGGCTATGTACCAAGGACGTGGGCTCCCCATAGCAGTTGAGTCTGACTCTTCGTGGACAGCCTGCAAGCTGGTGATTTCAGTCCTTCAAACACAGTAACTGAATACTCCTAACAACCTAAAAGGGCTTGGAAATAGATTCTTCTTCAGAGCCTCCAATCTGTCCCACACTTTAATTTCTGCCCTTGAAACTCTCCAGGGAACACACCCAAGCCCACCAGGGCTTCTGATGTATTGAACCATGAGCTAAATTGTTGTTGTAATTTAAAAAATAATAATAAAAGATGTTTTAAATTGTAATGTTTTAAGCTGCTTAATGTGTGGTAATTTGTTATGCAGCAATAGGAAAGTAATACAGAGGCAAATAGAATGTATTTTTTAATTGGGGTAATAGTCACATAGTATAAGATTATCCATTACCATTGCGTGGACAACTCAGTGGCATTAGTACATTCGTATTGTTGTGTAACCTGCACCACCACCCGGTTGGAAGACATTTCACCTCTCCAGAAGGAAACTTATAGCCTATTGCTCTCTCTTCTTCCCTTACCCCTGCCCCTGGCAAACACTAACGTGCTCTCTGTTTCTATGGACTTAACCTATCTTGGGTGTTTCACACAAAGGGAATCATGCAGTACGTAACCCTTGGTTTCTAGTTTCTTTAATTTAGCATAATAATTTTAATGTTCATCAACATTGTGGGATTTATCAGTACTTCATTTCTTTTTACGACTGAAACATATCCCATCTTCTGTGTATAACACATTTTGTTTATTCAATCGATGGACATTTGGGGTTGTTTGTACTTTTTGGCTATTGTGAGTAGTACAGCTATGAATGTGAGTGTGCAAGTGTTTGTTTGAATACTGGTTTTCAATTATTTTGGGTACCTAGGAGTATAATTGCGATCACTTTATAACTGTTTAACTATTTGAGGAACTGCTGAACTGTTTTCCACCAAGACTGTGCCCATGAACATTCCCACTGGCAATTTACGAGGGTGACAGTTTCTCCACGTCCTTGCCAACATTTGTTTTCCTTTTTTTTGAAAATATCTATCATAAGGGATGTGACGTGGTATCCCACTGTAATCTTCATTTGCATTTCCTTAATGACTAAGGGTTAGCTTAGTTAGCTAAGTGTGTGTATATATATATATCTTTTGTAGAGAAATATCCTTTCAAGTCTTTTACCCACTTTTGATTGGATTGTTGTTTCTCTTTTTTTTTTTTTGAGTCATAAGAATTCATTCTATAATCTGGATATTAGACCCTTGTCAGAGAGATGACATGTAAATATTTTTGCCTATTCTGTAGATGTAAATAAACTATTGAAGGGCAGTTTTACCTTTCTCTATTAATATAAAAAATCATGTGGGGATGTGGGTTTTACAAAAAGAATTATATTACATACTTTTGAATCTTGCTTTCCTCAGGAATAATTTGTAGAAGACGCTCTATTGTGATAAGATGAAACTCTAATTCTTTCTAATGTCCCATTGTGTGGGTGCACTGTAATTTATTTATGGCCATTGACTCTGTTTTTAGGTTTTTGTTCACTGCCCACAATGGTGCAGTTAACATCCTTGGACAATATATGTCTATATATCGTTTGCTTCATTTTTATGAAATTTATTTCCAGGAGTGGGTTAGCTGGGTCAAAGAGTATACACATTTTATTTTAATTGGCATTGTTCAGTTGTTTTCCAGAAACTAGCAACATGAGAGTATTGGTTTTGCCCTGCATCTTGCTAACAATAGGTGTAATCAAGTTGTTGGGTTTTTTTTGTTTTGTTTTGTTTTGTTTTGCTAATCTGATAAATGGAAAAAATCAGTGGTTCTCAACTGTAATGATTGTGTCCACTCCAGGAGACATTTGGCAAAGTCTGGAGATATTTCTGATTGTCATAATTGTTAGTTATGGCTGGGGGGAGGTGCTACTAGTTTCCAGTCGGCAAAGCCAGGGATCTGCTAAACATCCTACTGTCCTCAAGGCAGCCCCACAAGGAAGAGTTATCCAGCTCAAAAGGCCAGCAGTGCCACGTGTGTGAAACCCTAGTATAAAGAACTACCTGCTTTTATCTTCAGTTTGGAGGTCTTTAGGGGTGAGTTTGAACATCTTTCCATATGTTTGTAAGCTGTTTGGATTTACTTTTCTGTATATTACCTATCTTTGTCCTTTGCTCATTTTTATTTTGGTTGTTTATCCCTATCTTATCAACTGATAAGAGCCTTTTATATTTTAGAAACCCTTTGTCTCCTCATTGAAAATATTATTTTTTAAATATACTTTTTACTGACTCTCTTTTGCCAAATAGTCAAATCTTATTGAAGAACATAAAGCAAAGTTTGAAAAAAATGGTCACACTATGCCCTTAGATAGGAAACATCATAAAAATGTTCTGCTCCCCAAAGTGAATTTTAATATGGTTCCAACTGGAATCCAAACACTACCCAATTAAGGTTCCAAAATTATCTGAAAGTTTATATGGAATACGAAATGTACAAGAATGGCCAATAAAATTTAGCAAAGAAGGACTAGCAAGGTATACTTATATCATCAGATATCAGAACATACTGTAAAGATGCTGAAATTAAAATAAAAAAATTGGTAA